CACAAGAGCGGCTACGTCATAGCAGGCCGCCTCCTTTATACACGCAGCAGTCTGAGCCAGCGTCTAAAACACAAAAAGGAGAACTGAGAATTCCACAAAAAAATGAGGAGCACAAACACACCTACCAGGCCTTCAGCAGTGAGAGGAATACCCGACCCAGGGACCACGATTGGCGCAAGTGGCACAGGGATATAGCGGGTGTCTGCTGTGTGTTTATATATGAGTGATTCATCAAATGGTTGAGGAAACTATTAAAGGGTTAAATGAGAGAATGTGCCACCTTTCTATATTTAAACAATGTAGATAATTATTGATTCCTTTAATTTATTTGGTGACTGTTAGAAAGATTATTCAAATACAGTTTTCTCAGTCGCTTTTGTGCATTTCTCAGACTTAAAGTTCTCAAAACTATTAGTTCAACCTCCACAACATTGAGTCATGTGTGACATCATCGCAGCAGTTTCTCAATCCTCTGAACACATTTCAAATGCTTTCGAACATGTATCAGTTACTTTCATACAATTCTCTGCTGTTTTATAACATCATTATTTGCTTCTGTCCTGTCAGTCAGAATGAAACATACTTATCACTTCTCAATAGTCATTCCCTATAAAACCAATAGTTCTCATTTCATCGCTTTGGTATCAGATTCAGATTCAGATTCAGTTTATTTGCCATTTGCAGTAAAAAAAACCACATTGGAATACATTAGCAAAAGTCACCAGTGTGCACAGACAAATACAGACATAAAACAACATTAAAAGACAAAAATAAAACAAATAAAACAGTAAACAAATGTCACTGTGAAATCGATCGACTAAAACAGTTTCAAAACAAGTGCAAATCATTAAAGTGCTCTGTTCACACTGATAACAGCTTGTGGATAAAAACTGTTAGCGTAACGAGATGTCCTGCATCTCAGAGAGCGATATCTTCTGCCAGAGGGAAGAAGCTGAAACATGGCTTTCCCAGGGTGGCCAGAAGAGTCATTGACAATCCTAAGAGCTTTGTTTAAAAGTCTGGATTTATAAAGAACCTCCAGAACAGGAAGCTCACAGCCCACGGTCCTCTTTGCAGAGCGGAGCACCTTGTTTAAAGCTCTCTTTTCTTTATCTGTGATGTTTCCAAACCACACAGACACAGAACCAACAAGTAAACTCTCAATGGTGCAGCGATAAAAGTTAAGCAGAATCTTAGAGTTAGAGGTAAATTCTCTAAGTTTACGCAGAAAGTAGAGACGCTGACGGGCTTTCTTAACGATTCGGTCAGTGTTTTTAACCCATTTCAGGTCGTTAGACAGAGTTAAACCCAGAAACTTGCACTCCTCTACGATCTGCACCTGGGAGTTGTCGATTACGACAGGCAAATGAGAACTATTGCGACTGAAGTCGTAGACCAGTTCACATGTTTTCGATGCGTTCAGCTGGAGGTTGTTAGTTTTACTCCACTGAACCACATTTTGTATCTCTGCTCTATAAGAGGATTCATCAGTGTCACTGATGAGACCGATGATGGTGGTGTCATCAGCATATTTGATGATCAAGTTTGAGTCAGAGGAGGACACACAATCGTGAGTGTACAAAGTAAAAAGCAAAGGACTCAAAATACATCCCTGAGGAGAACCAGTGCTGACAGAAACAACATCAGAAAAACAGTCATTGATTTTCACTCTCTGAGATCTGTCAGTTAAAAAGCTAAAAATCCATTTACACATGGCAACACTTAAACCGAGAGACATGAGCTTTTCAATCAGTTTACCAGTTTACCAAGGCAGTTAAAAGCAGAGCTATAATCGATGAAAAGCATTCTCGCGACAGATTTACTAGTGTCCAGGTGACTGTAGACAGAGTTCAGAGCAAAGGAGATGGCATCCTCCACGCCTTTGCTCGCGCAGCGGTCCGCTCGCACAAGTTTAAATCCCTCCAGCGCGACCACAGAGTCTGGTATATTCCCACACAGCCACGTCTCAGTGAAACACATAAGTCCACATTGTCTGTACTCTTTATGATGGCGGACCAGTGCGGTCAGCTCCTCAGTCTTATTAGAGATGGACCGTACGTTCCCCATGAGGATGGAGGGAACGTCTCCGTATAAATGCACCTGCTCTTTGATAGTCTCAGGGTTCTGTTTAAAGCGCAGAGAGAACCATGAAGACAAAGGAACACACCAGGCAGGTCCGAGATACTGTTGTGGAGAAGTTTAAAGCCGGATTTGGATACAAAAAGATCTCCCAAGCTTTAAACATCTCAAGGAGCACTGTGCAAGCAATTATATTGAAATGGAAGGAGCATCAGACCACTGCATATCTACCAAGACCCGGCCGTCCCTCCAAACTTTCATCTCAAACAAGGAGAAGACTGATCAGAGATGCAGCCAAGAGGCCCATGATCGCTCTGGATGAACTGCAGATAACTACAGCTGAGGTGGGAGAGTCTGTCCATAGGACAACAATCAGTCGTGCACTGCACAAATCTGGCCTTTATGGAAGAGTGGCCATTTCTCAAAGATATCCAATAAAAGTATCTTAAAGTTTGCCACAAGCCACCTGGGAGACACACCAAACATGTGGAAGAAGGTGCTCTGGTCAGATGAAACCAAAATCAAACTTTTTGGCCATAATGCAAAACGATATGTTTGGTGTAAAAGCAACACAGCTCATCACCCTGAACACACCATCCCCACCTCAGCTGTAGTTATCTGCAGTTCATCCAGAGTGATCATGGGCCTCTTGGTTGCATCTCTGATCAGTCTTCTCCTAGTTTGAGATGAAAGTTTGGAGGGACGGTCGGGTCTTGGTAGATTTGCAGTGGTCTGATACTCCTTCCATTTCAATATAATTGCTTGCACAGTGCTCCTTGAGATGTTTAAAGCTTGGGAAATCTTTTTGTATCCTAATCCGGCTTTAAACTTCTCCACAACAGTATCTCGGACCTGCCTGGTGTGTTCCTTTGTCTTCATGGTTCTCTCTGCGCTTTAAACAGAACCCTGAGACTATCAAAGAGCAAGTGCATTTATACGGAGACTTGATTACACACAGGTGCATTCTATTTATCAGCATCAGTCATTTAGGACAACATTGGATCATTCAAAGATCCTCACTGAACTTCTGGAGTGAGTTTGCTGCACTGAAAGTAAAGGGGCCGAATAATATTGCACGCCCCTCTTTTCAGTTTTTTATTTGTTAAAAAAGTTTAAATTATCCAACAAAATTCATTCCACTTCATGATTGTGTCCCACTTGTTGTTGATTCATGACAAAAAATTAAAATTTTATATCTTTATGTTAGAAGCGTGAAATATGGCGAAATGTTGAAAGGTTCAAGGGGGCCGAATACTTTCGCAAGGCACTGTACCCGTAATATTAGAATTGATAAAATGACTCATTTTATATCAACATTTAAGGCCAGGAGGTCAATTTAATACAATTCCTAAAATTTGTAATTCATTTAGAGTTCCAGACTATCACTTTATCACTTTTCTATTCACAATTTGTCAGCTCAAAATGGAGTGAGAAGGATTATTTGAAACAGATTATTCTATTGTTTAAAAAGGCATAAAAGTAACACTGTATTTTGTGGGCGGTACGGTGGCCGAGTGGTTTGCGTGGGTTTCCTCCGGGTGCTCCGGTTTCCCCTAACACTAAAAACATGTGCAATAGGTCTGAATGTAATGATAGAGTGAATGGATGGAGTAGATTGGGGGCTTTGATGATCAAATGTGTTCGGCGACTCGCTTCCGTCATCACCGTGTGGAGAGAATTGGAAAAAAATCTGAACATTGTAAAACGCGCTCTATAAATAAACATTACTTACTTGTATGGCCTCTTGCAGTAACATGTATCCGTCATAACTCTGGGTCAGTTTTATTGGCAATATCCTTAGAAAAAGTGTGTTTATGATGACCCAATGTCTGGATGAAGAGGAGGACATTGGCTCCATTCAAAGAGAGAGACCTGACAACATTTATGATTTTCTCCTCCCTCCAGCACTTTCAGCCACATACACTTTACCACAGCTACAGCTCCTTATGAAAGTTTACATTTTGGCACATTTTATCATGTTACAGCCACAAACGTAATCATTTTATACAGGGTTAGGGTTTAAGCAATATACAAGTGAAAGGTAAGTATTTATAGTTGATTAACACAATGCAGACTTTTCTTTGTGAAGTTAAAAATTTATTTATCTTAGAATCAAATATAAAACATGTTTTAGTAGTCCTTTATGAGTTTACTAAGCACAGCCTCTGGAGGATTCATGTTTAGAAGTTTGTTTTCATTAAACAGTGAAATGAATAAGTATAGAGCCGTGTTAACACCTTCTCGCCTCAAGGTCGGACTGAAATGACTCATTTCCGTTTTGTTTTGTTGTTGGTGTTGAAACTAGTGTAAGTAGAGAAGGCTTTAAATAATTCATTCTGCAGGTGTCGGGGAAAGGTCGAAACTAAATCAGACGAGATAAATGCATGCACAGTATGTATGTGATGCAGAGAAGGCAAGTTTATTAGCACAATTCATACATTTACAAAACTAAAAGGAAATAGTAACAATAAAATACAAACAAGTTTAAAAAAAAAGTGAGTCCAGCGTTTATTATGAAAAGGATGTTTCAGGTGTTTGTACTTTATTGTTATTATCTTCTTTATTTTCTCTGTCATTCTCCTGTTTCTAAAGATTTTTGTGGCTCCTGGAAAAGCATGTTCCAGCTTCTTCCCTCTGGCAGAAGATTTCATTCGTTGAGATGCAGATTAAACAGAGCACTTTCATGATCTTTCACTTGTATTGATATTGGGGACTTTTGCACTTCCACTATATGTGTCATATATATGTAATTTTTCATACTTTACCTTTTGTTGTGGACTTATGCATTTTAAATGGAATATACGTGGAATAAGAATGTGACCGACTGAGTCAGAAACATCATTTGGAAATCTGTCTCAGCAAACTGAACGGAAATGAAAGTGTATTTTAATTCATTCTGTTATTTCTTCTTTTCTCCACAGTTCCTCTTTTTCTGTGAAAATGAGATCTACGAAGAACCTGTCCTTCCTCATATTCGTGGCTTTTGCTGTTTTATTGCTGTTACTCAAAGATAAGAACAATCCTGACAATGATACAGTTCAGAAAAGGTTTAAAACAACTATTGATGAAAAGGAAACAGCCTCAAAGATGAGCTCTTACGTTTACTCATGGCCCAAGTGTGAACCAAACACATCTGCAGCCAACATCTCAGGCTTCCACACTCTGCCAGCTCATATTCAAAACTTTCTCTTCTACCGCCACTGTCGACACTTCCCCATGATCCTGGACATTCCCGACAAGTGCGGCGGCCCGGGAAAATCATCCGACGTTTTTCTATTTCTGGTCATTAAAAGTTTACCGGGAAACTATGAGCGGAGAGAGGTCCTGCGCAAAACATGGGCCCAGGAACGGAAAGTCAACAATTTACAGATCCGAAGGGTTTTTATCTCTGGGACGTCGGGCGGTGGCGAAGAGAAGATGAGACTAAACAAGCTTCTACGAGCAGAAAATAAGTTATATTCTGACATTCTTCAGTGGGATTTTCAGGATTCCTTCTTTAACCTCACCCTGAAGCAGATTCTGTTTCTGGAGTGGATGGAGAGAAACTGCCCCAAAGCTCGCTTCCATTTTAATGGCGACGATGATGTCTTTGTCAACACAAACAACATGGTGGAGTATCTCCACGACCTCCAGGACAACGATGGCAGCAAGCATCACTTTATCGGGCATCTGATCGAGAATGTAGGCCCTATCAGATCACCAGTGAGTAAGTACTATGTTCCAGTCCAGGTGGAGGAATCTAACCACTATCCTCCGTACTGCGGCGGAGGAGGCTTCATACTCTCCGGCTTCACGGCTTTAGTCATTTACAACATGTCCTTGTCCACACGGCTGCTTCCTATTGATGATGTTTACATGGGCATGTGTCTGGCCAGGGCCGGCTTACGTCCTCAGGCACACATGTTAGTGAGGACTGCAGGACTTCACATCCCGTCCAAAGTGGATGGACACGACCCGTGCATTTACAGAGACGTCCTGTTGGTGCACCGCTTCCTGCCCTGGCACATATTTCTCATGTGGGTTCAAATAAATGATCCTGGTCTAAACTGCAGTTCTTCTTCCAACATTTCCAACACAAGATGGCAGAAATGAAGGCGTTTGACGGAAGAACAGTGGAATATATTGACTTCTCCAAACTTACCACGAGACAAATGGACTAAGGAGGGAAATGAGCGGAGAAACTCACGATAACTTTTACTGCAAAATACTAAAATACGACTCTTTACTCGAGATGAAGTCTTTAAAGTGATAGTCTGGAAATCTAAATGAAATACACATTTTAAGATATTAAATTGACCTCTTGGCCATAAATAAACTGTTATCTAATAATAATGATTGGAAGAACATTTTGAAATTACATTAAAATCAATGGAACGTTCTACAGCTGCTGTGAGGAGCGTGTAATAAAAAATGATTATTAAATATTCAAATATTTAAATTAATAATCTCTCCTCTGGTGCGTGCACGAAAAAGTAGGCGTGGCTTCAAGAAAAATCAGAAAGGAAGGAGGAGGAGCTTGGGTCGTTTTTTTCACACCATGTTCCTCTTTCTCTTTTTTCTGACAAACTCCAGACTATCACTTTAACTGTTGTGAATGTTTGTTTTAAACAATGACAGATTGTTTGAATGTTTTTGTTCTGGAGGAGAGAGTAATGCACATCTCAAGTGAATAGAACTTTACTTTAGATATGAATGCAGATATTTCAGATTCTTCTCTTCTTTTGGAAATCATTTGACAGTTTTTCTGTGAAAATAGACTTGTCCTGTCCAGCCAGGAGCTTCTGCCTGCAGAAAGCTACACGTATGTTAGTGATGCATGACACACCACATCATGGTTGGATCGCTGCATATGTAGTGCTGAAGCACATGTATCCATTGTGAAAATGCATATAGATTATAATATGACTACATGTGACCATATGCCATTAACTGTGTACTGTAACGTAGAAAATGTCCCCAAATTAACTCCTGTAAATGTACCTGTGAAGAGTTTACGTGAGTGCCCGGACTGGTTCAGCCTTAGCTGTGAAGAAGTGCAAGCTTACACCCAAAGAACTGAGTGTTTTTTTGAGGATGTCATACTACTTAAAAGTGCTGTACTGTGTTGCAACATTAATTGTACTGATCCTGAGCATGGGGCTAAACTCTGCTCCTTATATTATACAATTGTAGATACCCTCATTAGTCTGGAAGGTCTTTCTGTAAAAGAAATAATAATAACCATAGAGGTAAACTTGGGTGGAAAATGTTTGTTGAGGAACCACATGCTGAGGGCAAATTGGAAATCACCCTGGAGTCATAGTCACCCCTCAAGAAGTGTATGAAGCTGTTTTCAAGCTGAAAAACAAGTCTAGTGGGTTAGATAATGACTTCTGAACATGCAAAGTTTTCCAGCACACAGCAATATCCTCTCTTAGCCCTCTGCTTCACTGGGTTTCTGGTTCATGGCCTTTTGCCACAGTCCGTTTTGTCCATTGATTCCTGTAATCAAAAATAAGACCGGTAAACTCAGTGACATAAAAAACTACCGCCCAATTGCTTTAAGCAAGCTCCGTGTCGAAGGTTTTGGAGAGTATTCTCTTAACTCGAGCCATATTTTGACACCACTGCTAACCAATTTGGCTTCAAGCCTGAACATGGTACTGACATGTGCATCTATGTCCTCAAAGAGATGTTGGACAAATATAACTCTCAAGGATCAACTATGTTCATGTGTTTTCTGGACGCATCTAAAGCGTTTGCTCGAGTTAACCATGGAACGTTTAGGTTTGTGTAAGCCCTCAGTCGTACAGGGATTAGTCAAAGCAAAGCAAGGTTTCTCACTCATTCTCAACGCGCGGTCTGAGAATTCATTCCCTGAAGAAGTCCTTTGGATTGAGGACGAAACGTCGGGAAAACCTGCTAAGAAGTACAGATGATGGGTGAGAAACCTTCCTTAACCATGGAACATTGTTCCAAAAATTGGTGGATCGAAGTTTTCCAGGTTTCCTCATAAGGATACTTGCATCTGGTACTCCTGCCAGACCATGTGGGTCAGATGGGACAATTCCACTTCTGACCCATTCAGGGTTAGCAATGGGATGCGTCAAGGGTGGAATTTTGTCTCCTCTTCTGTTTAATGTTTATATTTATGACCTGTCTCTGCTGCTAAATAAGTGTAAAACTGGATGTATGGTTGGTATGGTATGGTCACCTGTGTGACCATTTAATGTACAGTGCCTTGCGAAAGTATTCGGCCCCCTTGACTCTTTCAACTTTCAATTTTTTGTCATGAATCAACAACAAGTGGGACACAATCGTGAAGTGGAACGAAATGTATTGGATAATTTAAACTTTTTCAACAAATAAAAAAATGAAAAGTGGGGCGTGCAATATTATTCGCCCCCTTTACTTTCAGTGCAGCAAACTCACTCCAGAAGTTCAGAGAGGATCTTTGAATGATCCAATGTTGTCCTAAATGACTGATGGTGATAAATAGAATGCACCTGTGTGTAATCAAGTCTCCGTATAAATGCACCTGCTCTTTGATAGTCTCAGGGTTCTGTTTAAAGCGCAGAGAGAACCATGAAGTCAAAGGAACACACCAGGCAGGTCCGAGATACTGTTGTGGAGAAGTTTAAAGCTGGATTTGGATAGGAAAAGATTTCCCAAGCTTTAAACATCTCAAGGAGCACTGTGCAAGCAATTATATTGAAATGGAAGGAGTATCAGACCACTGCAAATCTACCAAGACCCGGCCGTCCCTCCAAACTTTCATCTCAAACAAAGAGAAGACTGATCAGAGATGCAGCCAAGAGCCCCATGATCACTCTGGATGAACTGCAGATAACTGCAGCTACATTTCGCCAACTATGTGGCGAAATGTTGAAAGGTTCGATGGGGCCGAATACTTTCATTGTATGCAGATGACCTTGTACTGTTGTGTCCTTACAGTGCAGGCCTACAGCAGCTGTTAAATATCTATGTCCTTACAGTGCAGGCCTACAGCAGCTGATAATTATTTGTTCCCAATATGGCATAGGCATAGAGTCTAAAGCAGAGTCTAAAAAAAAAAAACAAATCCATGTTCCAGATATCGTTCACTGAGATGCAGAAGTAGTAGATATAATTGGCAGCTTTGTGGGGGGCGTAGTCGGTGGAATGTGGTACTGCACACTGGTGTCCTCTGAATAGTGGCACCGCTATTGAGTAAGTGGTGAAAAGGTGGTAGTGCACCTTATTTTCCAAAAAGGTGGCACTTTGAATACCTAATGAGTTGTCCTCTGTGTAGGAGAAATTAAAATGACCTCTTTCCTCAATCAAAGACATTTTGTCTCCACTGTGTGTAAATCCTTGTGGTTCAGGTTTTATTGTGGATAAGAATGTCTTAAGATAAGTGCCATGGCAACACCCTTCCCCCAACGACTCTACAAGATGTGAAGACTTACAAGGACCCACAGGGAAGACAAACCAGTCTGCTTTGGAACCATGGAGTGACCAGACCTCCCTGGGCTCTGCCCTGGGCTCTGCTTAGGCAACCAAGGGGCCTTGGGCCTCTTAGATGGCCTCAAACCTCAGCTCCACGTTTGAGAGGACTTCCACAACCCTTCAATAGCCTCCAGCTTCAACCTGAAGAAGTTGCTGAGTTTTGGCACCTAGACTGTGGATCGTGGGAGGACTTGGTTCAGCCACATGATGCAGCCGCATGGTGCAGGCCCCGTGGACAAGAAGCCTCCATCCAACACCATCAAGACCCAAGGACTGCTATTCACCAAAGGCCATTCTGGTTGTATGATCTGCTCTCTTGCTACACACAGTTGTTGGCTTTATTAAAACCTACACTTCAAAGAATACTTCTCTTACCAAGGCTGAACACATGCAGGCCTCAGCCTATACCAATCCATTCATAGACAAAGGTCTTGCTAAGCTCACCTTAGCCTAGCATTTTAACAATGTATCTTGAAATCAACGTTTCCTTCATGTTATTCTTGACAATTTGCATATTTCATATCTAGTCTGTATTGTGTATACTTCATTAATATGAACCAACTCGGGCTCTGAGGAGCACAGGGACTGGACTTCTGTTAGTGCCCAGAGTCGGAACTAGACATGGGGAGGCTGCGTTTCAGATTCATGCAGCTAGAGTCTGGAACCGTCTTCCCGAGAGTGTGAGACAGGCGTCTACTCTAGCAGTTTTTAAAACTGAACTGAAAACAGTTCTTTTTAGCTGTGCATACAAGTGAATGATTTTATATTTGTTTTTATCTTTAATCTTTTTAATGCGCTATGATTATTTATGATTATTTATGATTGTAATCCCTTGTGTGATTTTAATGTTTTACGGTTTTTAACTACTTGTGTGATTTTATATAGCTTGTGCTCTTAATCTGTCTTTTTATGTTTACTTAAATTCTAATGTTTGATGATTTATGCATGATGTTATATGGGTTGTGAGGCGCTTTGCGTTGCCTTGTGTAGGAAAGGCGCTCTATAAATAAACGTTGATTGATTGATTGATTAAATCTACAAAACCATCTTTGTCTGAAAGTGATATTTGTACTTTTAACTCCAGAAACTGGGTCACTGATTTGTAAAAGAATTCACTTCCTTCAGATTCTATTGAAGAGAATTGGACTAATTAGCTAATTAAATAATGAAAGGACTCATGAGATTACTTAATCAATAAATGAGCCAATTAATTGATATTGTGACGTCATATGCACGTTATCAGTTGGGAGTTATTCCCTGGTGCCCCTAAATAAAGCTATTATCAATTATTGTATTTATTACATGGTTGTTTTTGATCCAATTCTCCGATATCAGGTACATAACTTAAGTTATGTGTGATATCGACATTTTCTCACTTTCTAACCCTAACCCTACATCTGCTTGACCCTGCATGTGTGCTAAAACAATGGGTGCTTTTTTCACATCTAAAGAGTAGTGTTATCTAAAGATATTTTATTATTGAATAGAGCTCTGTGTAAGATCAGTGCTTGACTGCACAATGTTATTTTTATCACAAATTTCTTTTGGGTTATTCTAAGGTGGTACAAACAGTGTTAGCCAAGCCCGGCAATGTTAATGGGAGGGTGTACTAACAGCGAATCATG